ACTCGTCTGTCTGTCTGCGTGTATGTACTTGTGTGCCTGTCAATTAACTCGTTTGTGATTTTCTTTGACTGGGCCGATTACGTTCAAACTTGACTGGCACGTCGGACCTGCAGTTTAGTTAAATGAAAATAAATCATTTTCATCGTCGGTTGCCATCAGTGGCGGATTCAGAGGGGGGACCATGCTTCCTCCAAACGCATGACGATTCATATCATCTGGATTACGCATAGCTTCTTTACGATTTACGCTCCGTAATTGTAAGCGAAGCTTGCCCCCCCCCAATACATTTTGCTGGATTCGCCACTGGTTGCCATGAAAACATTCCAAAAACTGAATTGTTTCTGCCTTCGCGCCAAACTTACCTTGGAGTAAAAATAACTGACATATTACATTCGTTTGTTTGAGTGAGTACTGAAAATTACTATTAACTAAGCAATTAAGAAAAAAGTCCCCTATTAACTGGGTAATTAAAAAAAAAGTCCCACAGATTTTATGAATTTCAAAAACAGTTATGAATTGAAGATCATGAGAATATTATGCATTGTGTATTCATAAATCTAAGAATGTATGTTGTAATGAAAATAAAATTATCATCTGACTGTTTTATTGAAAAGTGATCAGTTTGCATTAAAATTTAGATTACCTGTGTGTTTTTCTGTGTTTGAAATGATCACGAAAGATGCACGGTAATTATGACAAAGCGGAAACCTGGCATCGTTTAAATAGATCATATTATCGTATTTACTTACCATCTGTTGAGAAGACGTCGGCATCGATGCTTGCCAGATTGGACGTTGCGTTGTCGTTAAGTGTAAACCCTTCAAAATTCTCGGAGAAACCAATTTCAACAACGACATCTACAAACAGAACATATGTAGCAAGTATAAAACATTTTGTACTGAACTAATTCGCTACTTTCAAATCACCAACAAATATATAATTAAAGCATGGTCTTTGTTTATCTCGTGCATGCGTGGAGCGACGATCACTACCCTTTAACACAATATACGAAACCTACCGATATTGTCACCACTGTATTCAGTATCTATTCCAGCGGTCTTTGCAAGTATGTCAGTTGTCTTCTCTGAAGCGATTAACAACCGGCTTATTCCTCGGTCATCCTGCATAAAACGCAACGTTTGAGTAAATGTTATTCAAATTGTATATGAAGTTTTATTTAATACAACGATGAACACTTGAAAATTGTATACGTCTAAGTCAAAGTGGCGTGTTTACCTGAAAGTTATTCCAAAGTTCCCCATTTCTCTCATGCAGAATATTGTCTGTTAAACCAAAGGATTCCTGTGAAAGAAACGAGAAACCCCCATTTCCCATTAAGCATATTGCCACTGACACGTGTATCGCATTAGTAGAACAAACATTTGATTATTTAGCAGCACGACATCTTTTGACTGATTTATGAACTCAGACTTGTTAATCGCCGTCGATGTGATCACGTTATATTGCAATTAAACAATCATATCATTTTTGGTATAGTGTTCTGTGTTCACCTCAGTGAAATTATAATTAAATATTGGCACATTTGTTGAGCTGGAAAATACTCTGCTGACTGTAATTTTTTTCATTGATTTTCGTCATGGTATCAGGTTTTAAATGTTACTAGGGAATCAAAATAATTTATCAGCGGATTATTAAAGAAAAGTCAACGTGTATAAAAATGCGCATCCATATTCTACACCAGCACCAGATTATACAAGTGTTAAAAAGGCTTCAAGTGATGCTACAGCCACAAGAAAACGATGTATAAGTAGTTGCGCTCGACTTCACACGGACGGGAACATGGTGAAGATAGTTACACTCAGTTATTTGCAGGTGGCGTTTATGTACGAGTTACTGCACGGTAGACGCGTTTCAAGAAAGATCCATGTAGTTAACTATTGCTACTTTTATTACTTATAAAGTCGGACAGTAATCGTTCGACATGTGTGGTATTTTTGTGCCAAATTAGAGTCATTAAATTGTTGTCTAACCCATTATACCCATTAGTGCTAGATTAATTCAAAACTAAATAATATATATGACGTGGCGATTATGGGTGTTTGTTCAACTAACCTCTGCAAACCTATCAGGATCGAAATCAGCCGATGTCTCATTTATCAGTGTTGCAATGACGTTCAGATATTCAAGTACTGCCATAAGTTCGCCTGTTGTAGAAGGGGCTAAGGCTGAGCCGAGTGTTGTCCAGTTTCTCAATTCGTCTAAACCCACTTCGCCTTTAATATTCAGATAGCACTGAAAGCAAAAGTAAGACATTAATACGGGCTAGGTTGCAGGTTAGATAGGCACAAAGTGACATTCAGCAATATGTTTATTTTAACCACAATTAGAAATACGTTAAGCGATGTGTGACATAACCGTTATGTCACACACCATTTTAAGGACCTGCTGCTATAATATTAAAAACCACAGGGCTACATTTGGTGCATATTTTCTTATTTGTTTAATAATCCACTTAGCCGAACAATGACCGAATGAGTAAACATAGGATTGCGTGCCACTAGTTCGGTTAAATAATACAAAATATGCGAATCTATGACGTCATGGTCGGGAAATGGCACCGAGACACATCGTTACGTCCTTGGGTTATTTCGAACTTACATTGAAATTACATAATATGACTTACGTAACGGCTGCTCACATATTCGAGTAACTGTTGCTCGTGTTGATCGTAGTACACCACTCCGCATTGTGTACAGGAAGGGCGTATGCCGGCGAAAGTGATGATAGGACATTCGGGACTCGACGTAGTTATGTCAACAGGATCTGTACCTTCCACCAATGCTGTCGGTGCAGATTGTATTATATTATTCGTTATTGGTGCATGGTATAGTAAATCAAATCATTGGCTTCTTAAGTATGTCAACACGCCGTCTACGAATTGTACGAAATATCGCTGTTGTATACACAGTTTCACATTACTAGGTAGACAACAGTTTGCTATACGCAAGCAGCAGCGCACTTCTTATATGTGGACCAAGACTGTTTAAACATAAACAGTGTTTTGTTTTTCATACGTATAGCCACTTATGTCACGAGTGATCTTGAAATCGTGTATTATTTTATCTTAATGCAAGTTACGCGAGAGTATCCGAAAGCACAATGCGCCAAGCGGTATATAACAATAATAAATTATACTTCGATCTTGTATTGTTACTTTTAATATTGACCCTGTATTAAGGTAATGGATACGTTTGTTTTGTATTCACTCGATCGCATTTCTTTTATGACAATTGCAAACAAAATGGCGCCAACCATCATGGCAAGAACTATATTAAATTGTATATACCTGGTACTCTGCACATGAATTTATGATCAGTATCACATGGGTCGGTTTTCCAATCCATGTTGCCGTTAGCGTGCACGTAGCCACATATTCGCTCTCCACTATCTTGACTGCCGGAATTTCCATGCCAATTCTCATAACCAACAACAGGAGACCCATCATCCCAAATGAATGTCTCGTTTTCATATCGGCGCGACACACCCATCCATATCTTTTTGCCTCTGAAGCTTACTGGTAAACTCTATGAAAATGAAAATATATACATAAAATCTATATCTTCAATATCAGACAATAACATTTATTTCTTATATTGTTCAATATATCTGGGCTGTGTGTTCTAAATTTCTCATGATCGATTCGTAGATTCGTAGGCATGACGGTTAACTTTGAGCTGATTTGTTGGTTATCACCGAGAAACATCGATACTGTAAATTTCATTTCAAATTTCGTTATGTTTTTCTTTCTGGATGAATATGAAATCAGACAGTGCTGCACGATTTTTTAAACAAAATGCCCAATTGAGTGGGGTTTAACGCTAGGGGCATTGTAAGAAATGTTTTTATCGCGGTAACAAGTTACTCAAATACTGTTCTGTTTTGCCATAGTTGGGCAATTTCGTTATGCCGATTATGTTCATGATGATACATTGTTGTTGTATGCCTTTAAGATTCCAGAAAATCATAAACTGAAATGTTACACAATAACAATTTCCACGAAAACCAATGGTATATTATTTCGACTCGGATTGACGATGTTTAAACTCACATTATAAATGTCTTCTTTATCTTGTTCGCTTGTTATCTTCAACAGAGAGGCGCTTTGACCAAATCTCAATTGGCACTCGTCTGCGGCTTCGTCTGACGTCATTTCCTCCGTCCCATGATATACGCAGAATGAATCGCTGATTGGTTGTAATTGTGAATCCTGGCAATCTATAAGCAACACATTTAACTTATTTTCAAAGAGATTTCTGCGCAATAAGGTCAAATTTGGACATCACACATTCGATTTTCTATTGGCTCGAATCCACAAATACGCATATTTTGAGGGAATTGAGTGGTTAAGCTCAAATATATACGCTCAATTAGGGAACAAAAGGAGTCACATTGCCAATAATTAGGTTATAGTAGCAGAGCAAAGACAGAGATGTGCCCAATAATAATCTAGGCGAACATCCCCGCTCGAGTCCTGTTATCACGCATTATAATATAAGGTTATTACGAGGATATTTCAAATTATGCAAGAAGACAGCACAGCGGGAGTATCGACCGACGCGCAGTGGAGGTCGATGCGACGGCGTACTGTCTGAGTGCATACTTTGAGGTATCCTCATAATATCCTTATTATAATGCATCTTTTCCCTTCAAGGATACATCATGGGAATGCCGAAATCCAATATGTATAGAACGGATCCGGAATCAGCGAACTTCTATGTGTTGAGTTCGGCCAAACCTGGGTGGCAGCCATGTTTGTTTTCATTATTAGAGGACGCTTATACGCGCGTAATCATTTCATATTTGGAATTCGCTTTTCCTTATATGATAAGATGAAAATACCCCGTAAAATACCGCAAAATGACGACACGCTGTAACTTATGGCGTTACAGTGACAGATGTTTAATAATACAGTGTACTGCCAGTTATTGAAACGCCGTATTCTCATTGGTCGATTATTGGTACCACATGCAGGTCCCGTTATCAGACAATAATAAGACGACAACACTTGTGGACAATGCACGAAAGTACAAATAGCATTCATTGTTTTCCCACATTTTTATGAATATTTCAACAACAAACACACTACTCCTGGACATTTTCATCTGAAGTCTACCTACGTGAGTATGTTCGCAAGTCCTTCTTGTCGGTTATTACGCACGTCCCCATTTTTGCCTTGTAATCATGCAATACTGATTTGCAGTGCGTTGCTACTCTGCATTCTCTAAATAATAGGGCTGCACTTTGTACTGATCGGCCAAACAAGAACGTAGCGTTTCAATAAAAGGCAGCGCACGGTATATTATATAGTAATATTATATAGTAACCACTTTCTTAATTTTGTTTTAAAACAAGACATGAATGTCACAGTCCCCGTTTTTTAGTTATAAAATACTCATAGTAACACATGGAACATCTGCAAACAATTGAATTAATATGTACTCTATGTGGGTACAACTCATCATAAAGTGATTTCCCTGAATCCGATAACTGAAAACTTTCAATGACTCGGGTCCAAAATCTCAGAGTACACAAGTGCAACCAAACTTTGTCATCATTCATAAATCTGAGTAAACCTTGATGTACCTTTAATAACAAATTGACCTGGGTTTGTTTCAGTATCACCACCATAATTCCCATCAAAATGTAGCCCTGACACCCACCTGTCAATGATTCAGATCATGACTAGGTCATGACATCACTAAAAACCCAAGCATTACAATCTAAGCTAATTATTTATTCTGAGCATGCTCTCAGCGGTGTTAGGAGAGGTAGTTTTGGACGAAAACCCTGAAAAAGACCCACTTAGGATTTTCAGATCGGGTCATCATCCTGCCAAGTTTCATCGATATATGCTGCAGAATTTCTGAGAAAATGTTAGAGACGTTACAGACGGAAACTGGAAATAAGAATTAACAGTCCGCCTTTCAGGCTGCGCCTAAAACGGGGACTAAAAATCGCATCGATCGACACGTGCAGTGCATTGACCCAAGGCCGCAACACGACACGCCATTTGGTTTCGAACCGTTAAAATACACTGGAAAGCAAAACAAGAAATTATTATATTATGGCTATTATTAGCATATCATAAAACAATAATGAATACTTCACAATGCTACATTATCAATGCTCTGTAATAGTCAATTAAATTGAAAGGCACTTACCGAAACACAACACATATACGTGGAACAAAATAAGCTGCAATAAAACGGAAACATACGAAGTTACATTGAACTTACATTGACTGTATAATACACTGTTTGATGCAATGTCCAATGATTCTCAATAAGTGAAAATAGTTACACCGCTCATTAAACTTCTGATTGCGCTTTTGGGTTGATGTATTACGATTTGTCAGTAAATATTCGTTCATGGATAGTTGCGTGTGCTAATAATCTCGACGAAATACTTTTTTTTTATTCGCATGGCTTATCAAGGCTCACTCGGCATGTTTGAGTTGACGACGAGTTTTGTTTTCAGTCTTTTTTCCTGTCGCGCCCTCTAGTGATGCAAATGGGTATAAAGCGCGGAAGCTGTTCACGGTGATGATATTGCCATGGTACCTGGTCGATCATTGCTTATGCTCAGCCATGTGATTTTCACATATTGACCAGTATTTTTAAGCCACTTGAATTTTCGTTTGTATAAATCTGGTGTAAATGGAAGTCTGGGATCTGCTGTTATCAAACGGGCAAGGATATACTAGTATCGCCCATGGCGGCACATCTCATGTCACTTCCGCCTGTTCACCGTCGGGAAATTGCTACGCCCCGGGTTAATTGAGTCAAAAACAAAGGCCAAATGTTGAATCACAACCCGGGAAAAATAGTTTGATGATCTAACGCGACAAAGCTAAGATAAGTGTAGACTTACTATTAGCTTTATATTTTCCTGACATTGATTGGATTTGAAAACATCCGCCAGCAGTAAATCCGATCACCGTTAAGCGTAATGATGGATTATGAACAAGATAAATCCGAGATAAATCCCAGCGGGGATTAAAATCTTTCACATTCGTCATCGTCTTGTGGCTGCGGTCAATTGACAACTAACATCACATGTGGAACACACACACCTTGAATACGTAAATCAGTATTACTAAAGACGGCACTCCCGGATGAAAACGCGAAACTGTTCAAGTATCAGGTGTATGTATGTTTTCTATTTATTGCGAAGACAATTGATCCGTAATAGAACTTTGCTGCCACTAATAGAGATTTTGATACGCAAAAAAAGACAAGTTTCATTTTGCCATGCAACTTACTGCGGGTCTAAGTTGACGTACAACGCACATACTGAATACGAAATGAGTTTTCAGAATTGCAATAGCTTATCATAATCCCGAGGACCTGTGAGTAAATTAACCAATCAAAACACGCGACCCAAACATGAAATACAGTGCTGTATGTCGATTGGTTGTCAGTCAGACATCCAAGTGTCACTCAGAATATTCAATAGATAAATTCTCACGTCTCCTAATAAATGGAGTTTTAATTCTTTCGGAAACGAAACGAAAGAAAAAAACCGAATGTAATGAATTACATATGTTTAATTCCGATAATTTTTTTTATTCTGTTTTAGTACATAAAGGACTAACGAGAACATTTTTTTTCTATAATTGTCCGCTTGTAAATTAAACATTTTTGGTTGACGATTCTAGTTTTAGGTGTTTCATACAATGTAATGTATGATCTTTGTCTCGTAGATCAGATATTGTATATATATATATAGACACAATGACTCTAAATTAGACAGCGAAGGCCACCGAGGGGAAGAGTATTCTTTTCAAGTTTATTAAGATTCATAGTAGAGTTACTTAGGGGGTTCTTATGGATTTCTATAATTATCCCAGAAGTACGTTAATTAGACTTATGACCACTCAGAGCTTGACGCTTGGGAATATTTCTACTGCTATTACAGTAGTGGGTCACGCCCACTGAACCTTCATACCATAACGTAAAAATAATATAATGCAGTATTTCGTTTTAAATCTTGTTTTGCTCATCAGTAGCGAATTCTGTAGTAAATCTGTGTTTACTTATACACAGTGCAATGTATCCCATAATGCAATGTAGTGATGACGTCATTATTAAGATGGGCCCTCTAACTGAACATCGTGCATCCGCCCTGGACTTCCTGTGCAGCATGGGATTGTGGTTTTTTATAATATCGCATTTTACACACGCATGTCTGTACGTATGAATCTTGAAATATGTTTAAATTTAGACAGGTTTACGATTCACAGAGGATCAGATTATATATGTTTTTGGTTTAGAAAGATTTCCGTCTTGTATGGGGTTCGGATTAAACGTGTGTCCGGTTTAAAGAGAATCCCGGTGTTAACATTTGTTTTTTGTGGTACAAGCAAAACATCGAGCTTATTAAGCGAAACACGATTTCCCACTGAGCATTGCGATTACAAGTAATTGTAATTCACACATCCGACACATTTGCCTCACGTTTGTAATTTGCGCAAATAATGATACACGACAACAAATGCCGAATTGGGGTTGTTATTAGATAACCGGTCCGTTTAAACATCGCCATGTGATCGCTTGATACATCAACATATGCCCGTATTATTTACGGTACAAAAACCCAATAAAAATACATTATCTTTCTTTTAAATATTATCTACAAAATTCTCATAACGATATAGGTATACATATAGAAGTTCCATTGCCGATTTCTTTGTAACATCACGACAAATAAATTCACACGCATGTTGAAACGATTAATTTACAAGATTGAATTATTACCAAAGCCTAGGATTGAGCCGAATAGCTCCTGATCACCGTGAAAATATTGTCGATGCGGCACGTTTACAAATATAAAAATACGACGTACACAATTAGTTGTCATAGGCATTCTGCTGTAAAAAGGTCGCAGCCAACATGACACTATTTCTCCCTTTTACGAATATATATGTATTTATCGTATATTGGCTAGTTAATGTCACAGCAAAGAATGTAGCAATGCAGACTCACTCACATAGAAATGTCGTTTTGTGCATACGGGCATTTATTAGCTTTGCAATCAGGTCCTCTGTATGTTTAATATCAGGCATATCTGATCGTCTCATTATTACCAATCAGTTCCACGCCAATCATCATCGTGGCAAGAATGAGTGGAATATGGTTTACATGAAATACGGAAAGGAGTGGGGAAAATGCTTCGCGAAAAGTAGAATACGCATGCAGCCATGCGTTAATCCACGGCCTTGGCAGTTTCCGTAATGCCTTTTAAGGCCGTGGTGACACAATTCGACTATGTCCATAGATGACTTGTCATCATTTATGACCAGGTGGCGTACTCTATTCCTCGAATGCCTCGATGAGTTACATTTCGAATCCTTTTTTGCAATTAAAATTAAAATTAAATATAATAAAGTGTAGACGTCTATCATCTAGGAATAAAGTGCAGACTTAAATGACACAAAATGTGATGCCTGTTTCGTTTAGTTGAAATATTGATATTTAATTTCCATTCCATCAATAATCTTTCACTTTCGCACGAACGCCCATCGAGTTTACACGAGCCTGTGATTTCACAAAAGAGTCACTCTAATGAAGTCCGAAATCCAAAATAATTCTCAACTCTATATAAACTTTGTTTGTTTGTTTTACATTTCATACCTCAATGGATGCCTTGTTTACAAAGCGTGCGCCTCATTGTTTAATAATTAGGATGTATTCTGCATATTAATGAGATAAGTGAACTGTCACTGACTACGGATCTGACGTTGAACATTGATTCTCTCCACCACTACTTGTAAAGCTTTTGATGTTTCTTCGAGTTTAACAAATGCTTTTTGTGTAAGTCACGTTCGTTTTCTAAATACTCTTTAATATTCTTGTAATTGCCACACAAAAATGGATTGAGGTTGCCAATATATTGTACAAAGCGCTCGGTGTACTTCAACAAAGATTCATAAGGTTCTTTTGTGGGTGTGCACTTTACCCGCGGTCATAGGCGATATTTGAATGTACGTTGTGATAACAACACTTGTCAAATCATTGTTGCTGGATTGAGGGGCAGAAATATTTACAATTCGTTGAGATCTCCCTTGACAACAGAGCAGTGATGTTTTGTGAGTAGATGCAAGTACAATTTATCAGGTTGTCACTGGAATTGAATTGAAAAACTCTTATTTCTTAAATGTGTGTTCG